CAACTTTTTCTTAGGCAATTTACCATTATCATTATGGAATATATCCTCATTGCAAACAATCAATATCAGTTACAACCAGCTTCATGGTTTCATGCCCTCCAGCATCTTCAGCAGATCTTCACTGTATACAATTGATCTAAATTTCAATAACCTATCGGGTGAAATCCCAACGGATATTTTCAATCATCTCCCCGAATTCCGAGGGATCTATTTCTCCAGGAATCGACTCAGTGGTATGCTCCTGCCATTTCTTTTTTAATTTTTAAGCACGACCCTATTTATGTTGCATATAGACATTGCCGTATATTCTGCAGTAAATGCATTATGCTGTTGGGAAAAACTAGAAATAAATAATCTCACACTAATCTAGCCGGATCAATTTAGCGAAATATAATTTATAATTCATAATTTTCAATCTTTTTTTTTATAGTAAAAATAGAATTAAACAATGACCAAATATAATGTAAATAATCATATAAATTAACATCAAGATTTTAACGTGGAAAACCCGATGCAGGAAAAATCATAGGATAATAGTCCATCGAAAAACTTCCACTATCAACAAATAATGGGTTTATAATTGTTCTTCCTCAAATTCAACTAAGGAATACAATATATATATCATAAAGAATAACTTATTCTCGGATTACAACAAGATTAAAAGAGAATTATTTGAGAAAAACTCATAATACTGACAGCTCTGTTTTTTGTTAAAACGGTCAACTTCTAAACTACTAATCTTCGATCCAACCGTCCAGAATGAAAAATAATATGTCTAGAAGCTGTTGTCAAAATCTCTACTCGATCCAATGATGAACAAGCTAGAAATCAAATAAAGAACACAAGTTGCTCTGCTGCCTCCTCTTCTTTCTTTCTCTCGATTTTCTTCTCCTTTCTTTTGTTTTTCACTACTGCTTCTACAGTAGCCGAACCATTTTTAATTTAAAAGGAGCTAGTTGCCTCTCTTCTCAATTAATATTGTGGTCCTACTATCATATAGTACGGGACCACACATAACATATGCATTCTATGTAACGATGATGTAGAAGGTGTTTCATGTCAAATCCTTTGCAAGAGAACTATAGGACTTGTAACCTTTTACTACATTCAGAATTCTTCTTTCAACATCTATTATTGAGATATTTTTGTCTTCATGTAAATGCACTAAAATGCACTAGAAAGTGATCTGTCAAGGTTTGATCTTAATATTCACATTGGCCACATCTGATTTAATAGCCATATGGTATCCATATCTGACCAACTCTGTTTATCTATTAGTTTTTTTTTATAACCCGGGATATCCGGACCAGCTTACATGCATCACAACTAATCCCCGAGCCTACTGAATATCCTGCAAGCCTAGTAGGCAATTAAGGCACCGCGAGGGTGGCAGACTGGTACACAAAAAGGATCAAACTCGGGATAGTCACAAGGCAAACCTTACAGTTGACCACTGAACTAGACCCTCAAGTGCCTGTTTATCTATTAGTTGTTCTGCAGGGTCATGGCTCACTATGTCCTTGAAGAGACCTAAATTTGTTTCTTATGAAGGGATTTGCTTACGAACCAACTGAAATTTAGCTCTGGAAATATCTTCAACAGTTATTCTATAAACTCTAGGTGTAGTGCTTGTTTCCATTCTGGACTTGGTAGGGTACTTTAGCCTTTGTATCTGGATTATGACCGGGGACAATGTTAATGTGACTAGTCTTTTGAAACAGAACATTATTATGAAACTCAAAAGGTCTGCAAATTCACCGGCATCTTCAATATACTGATCTTTAATTAATAGTCTCTCATCATATATTTATCCAGACATTTTCTTCTACTGTCTGAGAAAGATGGATTTTGGTGAATTTGCAGGAAGCATTCCAAGAACTATTGGGAACTGTACATTGATTGAGGAGATAAATCTCAGTGAAAACAACTTGACAGGTGAGATCAAGCTAAACTGCCCCTCTCTAACTTACCTTGTTTTGATTAGTTCTATTGAGTTTCAGTGAAAAAAAACTTGATATTGTGCCTTGATATTCTGATCATGGCAGGTGCATTACCACCTGAATTGGGTGGCCTTACCAACCTGAAAACATTGAGAATGGACGAAAATGCTTTAATTGGCAATGTTCCATCCGCGCTCTTCAATATATCGGCAATTGAAGTTATTAGGATGTATGCAAATTTGCTTTCAGGGAGTCTTCCTCCAACCATGGGCCTTTTCATGCCTAATCTAAGGGAGCTTCGTCTAGGGGGAAATGAACTCGAGGGAACAATTCCTAGCTCCATCTCTAATGCATCTACTCTCGCTGTCGTGGACTTATCCTACAATATATTTACTGGTCTTATTCCTGGGACACTTGGTAACTTGAGACAACTTCAAGTGCTCAATCTAGCCAACAATCATTTGACGAGCGAGTCTTCTGCACCACAGTTAAGTATTCTCTCTGCATTGGGAAATTGCAAGAATCTGAGAAAGATATATTTGTCAGTTAATCCCCTCAATACCACCCTTCCAATTTCCATTGGAAATCTCTCTTCCTCAATTGAACAGTTTTGGGCAGACGATTGCAACCTTAAGGGCAACATTCCTAATACAATCGGCAATTTAAGCAGCCTGATAGCTTTGAGCTTGGCAAACAACGAACTGGCCAGTGTAGTTCCAACTACAACTGAAAGATTGACAAATCTCCAACTTTTGGATCTCCGAGATAATCAACTAGAGGGAAATATCACAGATAACCTTTGCCACTCGGACAGCTTGTTTGACTTATCCTTGGGTGGTAATAAGCTTTCCGGATCTATCCCTGAATGCTTGGGTAATCTGGCAACTTTAAGACATCTCAACTTAAGCTCCAATAACTTCACTTCCACAATACCCTTGTCCGTGGGGAACCTTGCAGGTATTTTGGTTCTCAACCTGTCGTCAAACTTTCTCAGTGGGTCTCTCCCGTTAGAATTCAGACAACTGATGGTCGCGGAAGAAATTGATTTGTCAAGGAATCAGTTATCAGGTCAAATTCCATACAGCTCATGGGACTTTAAGAATCTGGCTTATCTCTCCTTGGCTACAAATAGATTGCAAGGTCCTATTCCTCGGTCATTTAATTTTGCAGTAAGCTTGGAGTTCTTGGATCTCTCTCATAACAATCTTTCTGGACTTATTCCCAAGTCCTTAGAGACACTCTCGCATCTCAAATATTTTAACGTGTCTTTCAATGGACTAGAGGGAGAAATTCCTAGTGAGGGACCTTTCAGAAACTTCTCAGCTCAGTCATACATGATGAACAATGGACTTTGCGGTGCACCACGCCTACAAGTTCCACCTTGCAAAACTTATGCTCCCCGAGGAGCAAAAGTAACTCTCGTGTTCCTTCTGGAATTGATTTTACCATTAATTGCAGCTACAATGGCAGCATTATACATATTCATATGGTTAAGATGCCCAATCAAGGATGTTCGTCCTAGTCTGGCCAATACAAGGTTTACATACCGAGAACTTGAGCAAGCAACAGATGGATTTGGTGAAGACAATCTCCTTGGGGGGGGTAGTTTTGGTTCGGTATACAAAGGAACACTTAGTGATGGGAAGATCGTCGCAATAAAGGTTTTCGATGCTGAAAATGAAGTTAGTTGTAGGGGTTTTGAAGTTGAGCGTGAAGTGATGTGCCATGCCTGTCATCCGAATATCGTCACAATTTTTTGCAGCTCTAATGCTGCTAATTTTAAAGCCTTGGTAATAGAGTACATGGTTAATGGGAGCCTCGAAAAGTGGCTTCATACTCACAACTACAATTTAGATATCCTGCAAAGACTCGACATAATGATAGACACTGCATCAGCCGTAGAACACCTCCATTCTGGTAGTTCATGGATTATTGTTCATGGTGATTTAAAGCCCAGCAACATCCTGCTAGATGAAGATATGATTGCACGTTTGAGTGATTTTAGCATTGCCCAAGTCTTAAAACCAGATGGTCAACGGAATTCTTCAGGACGAAGACTCTTTCTTGGCACAATTGGATATGTGGCACCAGGTAATGCTTCTGCTTCATGAATCATCTTCCGTGTTTATGTTGCTAGCTTGTGGGCTCCTGCTTATGATTAAATCTATTAAATGCAGAATATGGTTTTCATGGAATGGTTTCGACAAAAAAAGATGTGTTCAGTTTTGGTATTTTGTTGATGGAAACTTTCACGGGAAAGAAGCCGACCGATGGAATGTTTGGAGGAGAAATGAGCTTGAGAAGTTGGATCATGAAGACATTGCCCAGTGAAATAGAAAGAGTAGTTGATCCTTGTTTATTACGGAATGAGGAAGAATACTTCGATGCTAAAACCACATGTTTATCGGATATTATGAGATTGGCTCTGTTGTGCACTTCATTTTCACCCTCTGAGAGGTTAAATATGAAAGAAGTAGTTGACACACTTGATGAGATCAAACGATTGTTTCTCAGGAATATCTCTGGAGACAACCCTGGTGAGTCCAATTTGGAAGAGTTAGATCCGAATCGCATTAGACATAACATGAAAAAGTTCTTGAAATGGAGGAGGGAAACCCTGTTGCCTAACCTGGAGTGGCGTTTGCCTGATTACCAATACGAGACTAACAGTTGAGCGTTAAGAGTCTGCTTGTAGTTAGTTCTTGTCAATGCAAAGCCCTTTGTTCTTTGCTTAGAAATTGAAAGATGACAATCAAGTTATGGTCATGTCATTCTTCATATCTAGTTATTGTAGTACCAAATGGCATTGTCCTGCTTATTGCATTTATAGTCCTGATAAGGTCATGCTTACAATCTACATGGGAGCTCTTGGCTTTCAAGCACAAAATGCGGCTCGGGTTTATGTTGCTTGGGCTTAGGTACAGGTTTCAAGTATTTGACATGTCAAATCTCTAAAAACTAGGACATGGTGACCCAGCAAAGAAGTGTCTAAAACTTAGATTGGCTGACAAGTTTATGCTATATATAAACTCGTATAAATGTATCATTAACAACTAAAATTGAAGGCTTAAAGAGATTGAAGAAAAAATAATGATTAATAAGAGTTAAAACTAGTTAATTGTATAGTAGTTACGTGATCCATGTTGTTTTTTCTTATTGAAGTAGTAGTATACTAGATAGGTTGCTAACTCGTAAACGAAGTTTTGTCAAGGAACTGATGGACGTAAATGGAAAAAATCTTGTGGGTTCAGTAATAGCATCAAGAAGAAAAAAAGACATGGCAAACAAAGTAGTACAGAAACAAAAGACTAAGTAATATGTGTTTTAAGAACTTAGACAAATGTGACAATGCCAAGTCAGGCCAGGTCGCTAAGTCTTGAGCAAAAACGAGTGCAAATGTAAACAGAGATGCAAGGAAGTTAAATGGGTGACGCTGCCTCTTATTGCCAATAAATTTGTTTACAGAAGTTAAAGATAAAGCTGCCATCCATTTGCTGCCCAATGCTTCAATGAATGGACCTAAAAATAAAAGCTAGTTATCATACAATGAAACAGCTATCAAAGTATCCTTGACAAACGTAAGAATACAGAAGATAAAAAAAAAAAGATAACAGCAGTGCATTGAAGAAGAATGTACGAATGGACAGAAATATCATGGCATGGCGACATGCAATGCTATCAATTCAAAAGAGCAGCTTAATAATTTCAAAACAAATAAATGAAAATGTTGTCATGTGAGCGGGTCTGGCAATGTTTTAGAAGGGGCAATACCAAAATTTCAGGATTTTGAGATCAAAACCTGAAAACGCTTGCTCTGTTGCTGGCCAAAAAAAAAATTCGCATCAGGAGTAAAACAATGTTTCCATGCAAGAACAGTAAATCCAGGTAACAGAGTAAAACAATGCATCAATCTATATTAACTTGTCTAGAGCCTAAAAGATACAGAGGTGAACCCGTCACAATACATGAGCCAACTCAATATCAGCATCCAAGATATAATGTTCTAGTTATGAAAAACTAGAAAAAAGTGTTAGAAAGGCATTTCAGATGCTAAGATAGAGATAACTATAGGCTGGTGTTGATCTACACCACCACGCAAAAAACAAGAGCAACATACCAAGCCAATCACAACCTTGTTAAGTAAGAATCATTAAACAGGCTAAAACGGGGCAGGAGCAAACCCGAAACCAAAAAATGAAGCGCTGAGGGTGAAACAAAAATAAAAACAAACCTGAACCTAAAAAACATAAGCTGTAAGGGGTCAAAAAACGTGAAATCTGAAATCAATGCATCAATTGATTCATTGGTATATAGAAAAATGACAATAAACCCGTGAAAAAACAACATACCAGGAAAATAGAGCCACCTCATTGAACCACCCTTGGAGAGGGACAGCCTCCTGAGAAGTGGAGAGAAGTTACAAAAATGAAAAAGAAGCTGGATAAGTAGTAGCAAAGTATGATAGGAGATAAGCAGACAGAGAAGCGAAAAGCAAAGGAAAGAAATAGCAGAGAAAGAAAAGAACCAAAGAGATTGGCCAATAGTCTGGGAAAAGAAGAGAAACCAAAATCCCAATGCAGCAAACATCCGCTCCAGTAGAGAACACACTCCTACAACCTTGAAAAAAAAAAACCTACAAATAAGAGTACAAAATGCACAATACAAGGACGAACTGAAATCTGAAACAAAGAGAAGAGAGTAGCCAGGACAGCATAAAGGAGAACCAAAAAACAAATCAAGGGAGTCGATTGTTGTCGTTAAAATTTGGCAAATCCTGTAGGAAAAGAAAGCAAACAGAAATATAAATCCAAGCTAAAGGTGTAGCACAACCAATCCAAAACGCAAAAAAGGGGAAAAAAGACAGGGACCAAAGGAAGCACAGTCATTTTTGATGGAGAAAATTAGAAGGAAGCAAAATCGAATAAAAGGGTTGGGGGAAAAAAACTGCGAAGGACACAGCCTAAACCAAGGTGGCAAAAACTTCAAAGAAAATGAAACGAATTAAAAGAACAATCAAAAGAAGATGGCATCATTACATAAACTAAGCTCAGCATCACTACATCATAATATCATAGTCTCTGACAATTGATACGAAGACAGAAGTTCTCTTATGACTGAAATAAGGAGCAGAGTCCTAGAAAAATGGTTCAATTGAGTCATAAACACATAAGAAGTTCAATAAAACAAATCTTAATTACACCAAGAAAGAAGTTAAATAAAAAATAGAGAACGTTTCTTGTTTAAAAAAAACACTGTGGGTAGTGCCAACGGTATGGAAGCTGGTTAGAGGATATACTCCTGCCATTAAAACCATTCACCGTGAGGTTACGCGTCCAACAGGCTTTCCCTCCTCCATTTAGCAAACTTCTCCATGTTATTTCTGATGCGATCTGTTCTCAGGATCTCCAAGTTGAATTTCCCATGAATATCTCCGGAAATGCTCGCAACGAAGGATTGTTTGATGTCTTTGACAATGTCGACAACTTGTTTCATATTTAACCTGTGAGCAGGTGACTCTGAACAGCACAATTGAGCCAATCTCATAATGAGCGACAAGCTTGTAATTTTTGCATCAAAACATTCTTCATCATTCTCCATCAAACATGGATCGATTACTCTGGCTATGTGATTTTGTACCAATGACTCCTCCACCCAATTCTTCAAGCACATTTCTCCATAAAACATCTCATCCGTCGGCTTCTTTCCCCTGAAAGTTTCCATCAGCAAGATGCCAAAACTATAGACATCAGATTTTTCAGAAACGGTTCCATACAGTCCACATTCTGCATGTAAAATTAGAGTTAACGGTAGGATCTGATGACGTTACAGGGCTGTTGTTCAAAAAATTAAATCCATTTAAAAGGTTAACAAAACACTATAAGCTCATGCTTGTCAGAGAGGCAAGGCTATGATTGGTTTGATCTACATGGAATAGGTTTGTGAATAATGTGTGTGTGTAACAAGACTATCAAGAAGCATTACCTGGTGCCAACCAATTGTGCACAAAAACTCGCTTTGTTTAGTAGAATCCTGTTCATCTGGATCTAGAATTATGGAAATGCTATAATCACTAACGCGTGCGATCATATCTTCGTTTAGTAGGATGTTGCTTGGCTTTAAATCACAGTGAATAATAGTCCTTAAACAATTGTAATGGAGGTGTTTGATTGCTGCTGCAGTGTCGATCATCACGTCTAGTCTTTGTAGGATATCCAAGTGGTAATTGTGAGTATGAAGCCAATTTTCAAGGTTGCCATTAACCATGTACTCCATCACCAAGGCTTTAAAATTAATATCATTCAAGCTGCAGAAAATGGTGATAAGATTCGGATGACTGGCATTACACATTACTTCATACTCGACATCGAAACTACTCGAACTTCTTTCATCTTCCACATCGAAAACCTTTATGGCAACTACCTTTCCATCGCTAAGTGTCCCTTTGTATACTGTACCGAAGTTCCCAGAGCCAATTACGTTGCCTTCATCAAACCCGTCTGTTGCAAGTCGAAGTTCTCGGCATGTATATCTTCCATAAGTAATTATGTTTGTGCTTAAGGGCATGTTCCTTTTCGGGCATCTTAAGAATAGGATTGTGTATAATGCCACCACAACTAGTGCTAATGACAAAATCAATTTTATATAGAACATAAGGTTTTTGGCTGATCCCCTGTGACCAATTTTGCAAGGTGGAACTTGTAGGCGAGGTGCACCGCAAAGTCCATTGTTCATCATGTATGACTGAGCTGAGAAGTTTCTGAAAGGTCCCTCACTAGGAATTTCTCCCTCTAGTCCATTGAAAGACACATTAAAATATTTGAGATGCAAGAGTGTCTCTAAGGACTTGGGAATAAGTCCAGAAAGATTGTTATGAGAGAGATCCAAGAACTCCAAGCTTACTGCAAAACTAAATGACCGAGGAATAGGACCTTGCAATCTATTTGTGGCCAAGGACCTTGCAATCTATCTGCAAAACTAAATGCATACCATCGTGAAGAGGAAGACGATAGGAATCTCCGTAGAGTAGACAAGTTACCAAACCATGTAAATTGATGTGTGTTTGAATGCTTGAATGATCTAACAACCAAGTCCAGAATGGAAACAAGCACTACACCTAGAGTTGATAGAATAACTATTGAAGATATTTTCAGAGCGAAATTTCAATAGGTTCGTAAGCAAATCGCTTGATAAAAAACAAATTTAGAGGGCACTAGTGAAAGATTGTCTCTTCAGGGACATAGTGAGCCATGACCCTGCAGAACAACTAATTGACAAACAGACTTGGTCAGATTATAGATATCATATGGCTAGAGAATCAGATATGGCCAATGTGAATAATAAGATCAAACCTTGACATGTCACTTTCTAGTGCATTTTAGTGCATTTACATAAAAGCAAAAATATTTCAATAATAGATGTTGAAAGAAGAATTCTGAATTCTGTTCAAGGTTACAAGTCCTATAGTCCTCTTGCAAAGGATTTGACATGAAACACCTTCTGGAGCATGGTTACATAGGATGCATAATGCATCTACTGCAGAATCTATGGCAATGTCTATATCCAACACAATTAAGGACATGCTAAAAAATTAAAAAAGAAATGGCAGGATTATACCACTGAGTCGATTCCTGGAGAAATAGATCCCTCGGAATTCGGGGAGATGATTGAAAATATCCGTTGGGATTTCACCCGATAGGTTATTGAAATTTAGATCAATTGTATACAGTGAAGATCTGCTGAAGATGCTGGAGGGCATGAAACCATGAAGCTGGTTGTAACTGATATTGATTGTTTGCAATGAGGATATATTCCATAATGATAATGGTAAATTTCCTAAGAAAAAGTTGGCTTCTAGCGGCAAGCTTTTGAGTTGAGGTAAGGAACCTAAGCTTGGAGGAATGTCCCCGGTGAATGAATTGAATCCAAAGTCAAGATACTCCAGGTGAAGCAATTGAGCTAACTCATTAGGCAGGGTTCCATGGAAAGTTTTGTTTCTAATGGATAGGAAAGCAAGGAATGATAGGTTTCCAATCTTTAAGGGGATGTAGCCAGAAAGACTCGAGAGAAAGATTCAAACCACTCACTCGGTAGCGCGGAGCACCACAGGTGACACCAATCCAGCTGCATACTGAGGCAGTGGTGGACCCATTGTTTGCCAAGACGTTATGAGAATCATTAAAAAATTTATCTTTCATGGCTAGAAGAGAAGTCTGATCGGTGGAATTATTGGTGAGTACCATTCCTACGCAAGCCAGCAGCGAAAAGACCGAGATGAACTCAAGAAAGCAAGTACCCTTCATGGATGTCAGACTGTCAATCGAGATAAATATAGAAGTACGGTCCGGAAAAACTAACTGTGGAGGGTAAAATCACCGGCCTTCTGAATACCAAACGATAAGCTATAACTAGTTTAGGAAGCAGAACTGACAAGAAGGTGCAATGACTATCATTTTCAAGGGCTTGAATATGTTTTCTGTGACATCATCAGTATATTTCGCGTCGTAGGAAATCAAGAAACAACACCTATCTTTAGTCCGACAGGGAAAATGAGGAGAAGTTGACGGTAGGGACAAAGAGAAATGCGAGGAAGGCGAGAAAGAAAATGCACAGAAATGTGACATCATCATTAAGCCATGAGCAGAAAGATTTCCAAGCAATTGCCGTGTTAAAAAAATCGAGGAAAAGAGAGAGAGAAAAGTCATGGACAACCGCGTAGACCAACTACGGAGGTACCTAAGCATTGATGCTGATGCAGGTGCGCTGTATTCTTTCCAAATGTTGAAGAGTATATAATTTTCCACTCACCAGGCTTCTTTGTAATTTCCATGAAGGCTACGGAAAAATGAAAATAAAGGGGTCGAGTAGAAAACAAAATCTTGATCTTCCTCTTAGTCTTCCTCGTGATACAAGAGTTTTATAACGGCTTAGGCTGAATGATACAAGAGTTTTTTTTTTAAATAAATATTTTTCTTAATTATTTTTATTTCTTCTATTTTAGTTTACAGGCTTTTTCCTATTTTTTTTCTTTTCAGTTCTTTTCAGTATTATTAAGCTTTTCTAATTTTTTTATTTGAAAGAAATATTTTTTCTTTTTTTCTTTTCATATTGAGTATTAATAAGGTATTCTAGTTTTTTCTATATAATAAATTTTTAGAAAATTATATTTAAATATTTTGGAAGTCTTTTCATAATTATGAGCTCTTGATTTTTAAAGGCTTTGATTTATAACTAATTCAGTTATATTTGTCTTCCTTCTAATACAGTTGGTATTAAAATTGAGTTATCTCATTAACCTTAAAAAACCTTTTAATATTGAGATTTTTAGCAAGCTCATTTATATAATTATTTGTTAGAATTCAAATCTCGTTATATTGAAGGAAGAAATTAAGTATACAATTGGTAACTAATTATTTTTGTCTAATTTTACATCTTTTATCTACTTCAAAGTAGCCGATCTTTCTTGTTATGTTTCTCAAAAATAAAATAAAATAATTACGAGAGAGAGTTGGAATTTACCCCCAATCAGTTTAATGTTGAGAAAAATAATCTAGAATAACTTTTGTCGCTATTATCAAAATAGATGTGGCCCTCCAAAATTTCAAAAAAAGAAGAAGAAGAAGAAGAAGGTAAATGATAAAGGATAAAGGTTGAAGGAGTAAGAAGCAGAGCATATGGCCGAAGCAGCGGTTTCTTTTGTTATACAAAGGCTCGCTGATTCGCTTGACAAACTTGAATTTCATACCGATGTGCGTAGAGAAGTAGAGCGGTTACAAGATGAACTCAGGAGGATGCGTTGCTTCTTAGGAGATGCTGATGCGAAGCAAGATGTGGACGAGAGAGTGTGTAATTGGGTGTCTGATATCAGAAATGTCGCTTGTGATGCTGAAGATCTCATAAGTTTAACCTGAAGATTAGTCCTCTTATCAGAAAATACACTTCCTTTGTTAAGGAGTGGAAACAAAGATCCAAGATTGCCGAGGATCTTGCTGCCCTCCGTTCCAGACTCCTAAATATCTCTGCCAGCCGTGATACTTACGGTTTCCAAAACTTTGGAGAGGGGACTACTACTGCAAGTGAGACAATGAGGAAGCTGAGAAGATCATCTCCTCGCAGCGAGGAAAGGGATATTATTGGCTTGGAGGATGATACGGCTAAACTGGTGGAGCAACTTATTCAAATGGGGGATCGTTGGAGTGCTGTTTCTATAGTTGGAATGGGCGGTATTGGTAAAACCACTGTTGGTATAAAGATATATATTATCACGGTGCCATCAGGGCTCGCTTTCCTTCCCGTGCTTGGATTTATGTATCGCAGGAGTTTAGTTTAAGAGATATTCTGCAGCAAGTCATAAGACAAATTGCATCGCCGAGAGAAAGGCTTGAAGCTTTGACAGATGAGGAGTTGGAGGACTCGGTGCATGAAAATTTACGGAGGAAACGCTTTCTGGTGGTTTTGGATGATATCTGGAGCACCAAGGCCTGGGATTGCCTTAAAAAGGCATTTCCCACGGATAGAAGTAACGGTAGCAGATTGTTGCTTACAACTAGGAACAAGAATGCTGCTCTGCATGTAGATCCTCAAACCACTCCCTATGATTTGGAATTCCTAAGTAAACAGAACAGTTGGGAGTTGTTCTGCAAGAAAGCATTTATTGATGGCAGTGACACAACTTGCTCACCCTTATTAGAGGAAATTGGGAAAGAGATTGTGGAGAGATGTGCTGGTTTACCACTGGCCATTATTGTAATTGGAGGCTTGCTATCAAGAAAAAGGAGGCCTAGAGAATGGGAAAGAATTCTTAACAACTTGGATGCATAGTTACGAAATCACATTGATAGCCTCTACTCGTGCTCTAGCTCGTCTGAGAGCTAGATGTGCCTCGATTATTTGTCTCTTGCCTTCCGCTTTCCTCAAGTTAGCTTCTGCTATTTCAAGAGTTTGCTGAGCTTCTTGTGGATCAATGTCACTCCCCTTCTCCGCATCATTTACTAAAACAGTAACCTCATTATTGCCTATTCTAGCAAAACCGCCCATCAGAGCCATCGTTAACCATTGGTCATTAATTGCTCGAGACCCAAATGGCGTTTCCGCGATACTTGCTTTGAGCTACAATGACTTGCCATTTTACTTGAAATCTTGCTTCCTTTATTTAGGCCATTTCCCGGAAGATTATTCTACTCATGCCCATAAATTATTTCGGCAATGGATTGCAGAGGGTTTGATTCCACATCAAGGAGAAAGAATGGAGGATGTTGCAGAAGATTACTTGAACGAGCTGATAATGGAGGATGTTGCAGAAGATTACTTGAACGAGCTGATAATGGAGGATGTTGCAGAAGATTACTTGAACGAGCTGATACAGCGAAACATGGTTCAAGCAGAAAGAATGAGTGTCAACGGGAGGGTCAAGCAATGCCGTTTGCATGATCTGCTACGAGACCTCTCCACCTCGAAGGCAAAGGCACAGAATTTTCTTCAGATTCCGGGTGATGAAAATTTCACATCTTTGGCCAGATGCCGTCGCCATCCAGTACATTCTGATTCTCTTTTGTCTAGCTTGGGATTTTTCAGTCCACACCTCCGTGGCTCCGTTCCCTCCTCTTCTTTAGAGTTGTCACTAGAGTTCGTTATCGATATTTCATTGGTAGAAATGTCTACGGTTTTTGTGAATTATCAAGTGCCAATTTTGACTACATTAGCAGGAATTTCAGACTGTTAAGAATCCTAGAGTTGGAGGGTATATCATGTGACAGAATTCCAAGCACAATTGGTGATCTGATACATTTGAGTTACTTGGGATCGAAGGAGACTAGCATACAAGTGCTTCCATCAACTTAGGTTCTCTGTGTAACCTGCAAACTCTTGATATTGCAAGAAATCTTCACCTTAGGATAGTTCCTAATGTCATTTGGAACATGAGAAATTTGCGACACCTTTACATGTGTGGGCAATCTGGCGGGTTCCTGAGAATTGACAACCTTAAGCTTTTGCAGACTCTGTCAGGGATTGAAGTCAGCAGATGGAAACAGAACAACTCTGCACATCTAACTAGTCTTCGAAAATTGAAGATGAGAAGAAACTTGAGCTTAGACACAATTGCAATATTTGATTCCATTTCAGCCCTTTTGCAACTTCAATCCCTCTACCTGCGTGCTGAAGGTGCTGAGTTTCCTACACTTAGTGAACTTGGCTCTCTTCACTCCCTTGTCAAGTTGCATTTGAAAGGTGGGATAACACGGTTGCCCAGTCTGCAAGAGTTTCCACCGAATCTCTCCTAGTTAACATTAGAATACACCCATCTTGAGCATCCATAGAGGTTCTAGAGAAGCTTCCAAAGTTATCGATTTTTAGATTAAAAGCAAAGTCTTACAGTAAAGAAGAACTGGGAATCTCTGCCAATGGGTTTCCTCAGTTAGAGTTCCTAGAGTTCAACAGCTTGGAATCCCTAGCAGAATTGAAAATAGAAGCAAGTGCATTGCCAAGGCTTGAAATATTTCAAATTGTCAATTGCAAGGAGCTAAGAATGCTCCCTGCAGACATGAAACTCATGACTAGTCTCCATGAACTGGTTGTTCAAGATATGCCAAGATTCTTTGTACGTCAGACTTCAAGGCGAAGATCTTCAGAAAGTCCCGCATATTCCTTTGATTAGATGTTTGTGATTGGCTATAGCTGTGTTTATGATATTCATGTCTCAGCTGCAATGTCAGCCATATCATATGTTGGCTGTAAAATATTTCTCAACAAAATTTGTCATTTATTCAGTTGATTCATCTGTCCTTGTCGATCTACCTATAACGTACACATTTTCTTACATTTTAATTGTATTGAAACTTCTTTCCGTTTTGTGTATAAAGATGATATTTTGCCTGAGAATCATATATGCTATTTTTATCTTCCATTTTTTTCATGTGTTGCAGGACTCAAAAAATGCATGCACTCTCACTAATTTCTTTGCCGTTCAAGATCAGGCCTCTATGAGGGGCAGTCATTTTCCTTACAGCAGGTGATTCAATTTGTCCTTGGAATAGGGCTCAAAAACGAGAAATACCAATGGGCATGAAGTCAAATACATTTGATGGCTCAACTGGATTTTTCCCTTCTGTAATAGAATTGCCTCACCATTTTCTCTTCATTGCAAGTCAAAATACACAAGTTATAAATGCAGATCACTACCATTAACAAATCACAAAGAGCCACAACACTTTTACTTGGCTTGAAAACTATTTCCATGATCATATCAGGAAGATTGGAGCAATATAGATAAATAAATAAACAAGGTTACAAACATTTACTAATCAAACTTGCACTTTGTCAAAAGCAAAAATTCAAAAATGAGATCAACCTCACCGTATATTAAAAATAAATAAACAAGATTACAAACATTTACTAATCAAACTTGCACTGCCCATAACAAAGTAGCCATAAAACCAAGAAAAGCCATTACAATAGAATCCCTTCCGCCATAGACAGACCCTGCTGAAGTTGGAATAACAGAGGCAGGGTTGTTGCTCTTAGAAGAAGGTTGTGAATTAGTACCCCCTGGATGTGCTTGTGGCGCGCCGATCGGTGAATATGCTCGATTGCTTGCTACATTTACCTGAAGCTTCATTCCTCCTAGACAATGTAACTTGTTGCCACAAACGAAGTACCTCGTTCCAGGGTTTGTCAATGACACAGTTGTGTTCCCAGTAGTAAATTTTCTTAGAACATTGGTCATGTTGCAGCTGTCGAAATCTTCTTTCTTTACCTCTTCAACACTGTGGGATGAAGAGTATTGAAACACTGCAAACATTAACAAGAAAAAAAAAATCAGTCCTGTAGCCATTCAATTCTTTCTACTTTTACTCTGGTGAGTAGAACATTAACCATGTTGTAAAATACTTACTTAGAAGGTCCCCAACAGCAAATGTCTTGTCCTGTGCCCACGTATCAATGTCAGTGCTTATGTCCCAGCCTGAATTATCACCTACCATGTAAGTTGCTGCCTTGCATGTTACTGCTAGGCCAAGAACAGCAAGAGAAAAGACCAAAACCAGCTTACCCATTGATAAATGAACAAGTATGGCAAACACGAGAGGGAGATGATCAACTATAGCTTGTATATATATGTGAAGGTTGATTAAGATCAGATGACCTAACTTCAAATTTGCGTGACTTGTGTTAGTTTCTTTTCTTTTTTTGAGTTTGTTGTATACAACATGGTTTGTTTGAAAAAATGAGTGAAGGAATAAAATTTCCCCATTGCCCTTTCAATTTATATATCTACTCCAAGAAATTGAAAGGACACAAGACTAAAGAGAATTTGGTTAAAGACATTCTTATTTCACATTTTAGAACTCAATTCAACATGAAAGGAGCATTTTCCTCCACCGACATTAAAGGAAGCTTTTAATTAATTTAAAAAATGTCGTGCGCTCGTGCTCCATCTATTAAGAACAGGGTGATTCTCCAAGTTCTATATTTTGGTCATTTTAATCCCTTCACTATTCTTTTAGGCACACCAGCCCCTATACTTTCTGTTCATGGTTGTTCCAGTCCCTTTGTATAAATTATGTCACTACATGGCTACCATGTGTCGCCACAGATGCACTTACAAGTGAAGATAAGGACCTGCAAAATGACAAGTTGAAAGTATAAGGACTGATGAGCTGAAATCTAAGAAATATGCGACTACATTGTAGTTACCCTCCATAACCTCCGCTAATGTAACATCTTGTCTCTTGTTAGATGGATTGGGCTTAAGATATGGTCAGTAATTCCTCAGTCGATGAGGGTGGTCGAACCATAACCCATGGTGAGATCACAATTTCTATTCATTTTCTTTTGAGTTGGTGAGGTGGGTGAGAGCGAAAGGTTTGACTGTTATGAGGAGGTTGAACCCCTTCCAACCCCGCAATTTACTGTGTCCCATGTCTACCGGCGAATCGCACAACACATTGAAATGATTGCTTGAAGAACAGGAGATGATATATAGTCAAAATAAATTATACAAAAGTACAAGAAACAGGAGGAGGAGGAGGAGGAGTTCCACCAACGTATCCGTTGGTTTAGACACATATTTGCATACGCAAAACACAACTCTTGTTTTAAGATCACGATGATATGGAAGACTTGATGAAAAAAATTGTATAAATCCTTCTGAAAATAACACATGCATTGCTCAAAAGACACATGATATATGATATTGGTGAAAAAAAAATAGCAAGCTGAATGGACCGAGTAGAAAACACAGTAGCTTCAAAAACTTCCAAAACCTCAAGTCAGTACATCAGAAACATAGCAAACTGAATGGACCGAGTAGCTTCAAAAATTTCCAAAACCTCAAGTCAGTACATCAGAAATAATCTACAAATTGTGCAAAAAGACTAAATCAAATCTTGTATGTTTGACAGGAGTGAATTGCTGCATCCAGACCAAATATCCCAACATTAGGCCATGTGAAGTGGAAGCACAATGCACCTGGTCAATTCTGGACATCAGACATGCATATCGATAGAATTTTCCAGTCTCTAGGGATAATAGGACATGAATTGTACACTGAACGCAATTAATGCTGTAAGTGAGAAAGGGTTTTTTTATATGACTGAGTTTATGTTTTAAAGTTTTTGTTATTTGGAAATATATTAAAAATTTTATATTTAATAATAAAATATTAAAATGATTAAACAATATAAAAAAGTAATTTTAAAAAAATTAAATTTAAAGAAAAAACTCGAAGCTCATAAATGAACTGGGATTTTGAAAATGAACCGCTGGTTTTGAAAATCCTGAACAGATTGGGGAAAAAAAACTATGATACGTGATTTAATGATAATCATTTGAGATATTAGCCCTTAATGATTATTGATTCAATATTGAGTTGAAACTATATTAATGTCATGTAAGTCATTTACAGGTATGGACATCCCTAATGTTGTTTTGGGAGTCCTGTAAGGATATTCAACATTTAATACAAAATATCAACCATACAAAAAGTAGGTGGAATAATTAATTCGAGGGCAGGCTTATCCTGTCCAGCCTTATGCTTTCAAGTATGTTTTCGATAGGCTTCTCTGTTTACTTGGATGCGTTGTTTTGTTGAATTGTGCGGAGGCACATACCTCTTTTAGAGACTGATTGATTCTGAGTCAATTAGGTTAGCTCACATCCTGGATCCAATGGGATTAAATAGGTGTAATTTATACTCGAGCTTTGGACCTTTAAGGACGTTCCATAACCCATTAATTTTTTAGACTCGAGCCTTAATCGTATCACGAATAAAGTATTTTAGGTGTAAATTCCAGTCCATGATGCAGACAAAGGTGGATGGTGTCTTTCAAAATAATGGCTAAAATCAGACTTCTTCCTTGGCATCTAAACAAGTAATGCAATTTTATGGTTATACTTGATTTCTGGTATTTTCATGATGTAGCCGTGAAGCAAGGGCCTGACTTCTGGCAACAAAGATATATCAAACAAGCTTTTGCATGTGTGCGATTGGATCAAGCAGTTCATAATCGTGATGCTCTGTCCTCGTCAAGAAAATAACAGGACTCGATGCCAATAGTTTTGAGGAGGGTACAATACAAGATTACAAGTGGGCTTGTGGCTTAACACATGGTCAACAGACTAACAGAGAGACTCCCTTGGCCTAGTTGATTTTACATGTGCTTTACATGCCAAATCCATTTCAATCTACAAGCTGTATAAATCCACATCTTTCCATTATTTCCCGGCAAAGAGTTAATCTTTTGTTTTCTAGTTTTATGGATGGCTGGATGGGGAAAAAAATAGATATTTTTCCTAGTTTTGACACAATGTCCGCATCCAAATAACGGGGAAATTAACATTTTACAGCTTTTACTCTTCAAACTTGTCTGCGTACAAAGCACTAACAAACTTAGGAATCAAGTCTAATCGTAACTTTTGACACAAGATTTTCCTATATAGACCCCCCCCACTTCTAGATTCCCCAATTTTTATCTTACCTGCATATCCTTTGGTACTCTTTGAGCCTTTTCTGAGAGGTTTTTTGGCTGGGGTTTAGAAATGCAAGAAAATGGGAGCTCATGCTCATTTACATGTGGCAACACTGCTCAAGAGAGGGGCTTGTCATATGTGCCTGATTGTTGTATTTCTATGCCTGATTGTTATATTTCTAACGTTGTTACTTATGGTTTATTGTACAAGAAACGTGTTGATATCATATTTCAATGGCTTTGTGGATGTTGATTGGGTTGATGATCTTTCTACTCGAAGTTCGACAAGAGGATATGTTTTTTTCATGGGTTGCAATGCGGTTTCATGGTGCAGTAATAAGCAACCGACAGTTGCTTTGTCAAGTATGAAAGCCTAATATAATGTTGTCTCTCTTGCTGTTCAAGAATATATTTGGTTGAAGAGACTGGTTAAAGATATGTTCAAAGAAATCAAAGAAGCCGTGGGCATTGGATGTGACAACTTAAGTGCCATAAGGTTGACATCCAATCTTGTTTTCCATGTTTTTCTTGTGTTTGGTTTTGCAGTATCAAACAATAAAACAATATTTTCATGTTTTTCTTTTATTGTAGTCTAGTGGATGCAGATACAATTGCAAATCTGTTTCTTGTTTCTTTGTTTGTTATATTTTTTTTGTTTGATAGGTTGACTCGGTAGTTGCTCCAAGATACTAATTAAGTCTAAAAAAAAAGTAAAAATTAAGCATGCAATTAGCCTTATAAATTCTACTTGACCCGCCAAATCAACTCATAATCTAAGTAATTTGAAAAAAAACTAGGATAAACTTTTATTTTTTCAAGTAAAAATTAAGCATGTAATTAGCCTTATAAATTCTACTTGACCCGTCAAATCAACTCATAATCTAAGTAATCTGAAGAAAAACTAGGATAAACTTTTATTTTTTCAATATGAAATTGAAAGTCTGTTAGTATATATATTTTATATTTATAAGAAAAAAATTATATTTTTTAATGTATGATAAAAAAAAATTATTTAAATATTTCAACTTAAAAAAAAATATTATCTTTTCATTGCGGAATAAAAAATCTTTTAAAATAATATTTTAAACTATATTATTTACAATATATATAACTTACATCCACATGGGTTATTTCTTAACTTTTTCCTTTAGAATATTGAAATTTTAAATATTTTTTGTTTAATTTTCATGAATTATTTGAGAATCTGACTTTTTGATCAGGTCAATCTTAAAACTGAATTTGATAATTATAGCTAAAATATGACAAATTAACCATTTTTCTCTCTCTCTTTTTCTAGTGACTTTCTTAAAATATTGAAATTTTAAATATTTTTTATTTAATTTTTATGAATTATCTGAGAATCTGACTTTTTGATCAAGTCAATCTTAAAACCGAATTTGATAACTATAGCTAAAATATGACAAATTAACTATTTCTCTCTCTCTCTTTTTCTAGTGACTTTCTTTTTTATTTCTCAAAATCAAGGGTTAAATCATTAAGCAAATGAAATTTTGGTTGGAAACGCACATTACAAAAACCACAAGGACCAAACATTCTTCAAACTGAAACTTCATGGACTAAAATGACTTTTTAACACGAAAGTGACTCAATTTAATATTTTATTTTTAATTTAATCACACTTCTTTTTAATTATTTTTTATATATAAATTTAAATCATCATCATCATCGTTCTGGCTTTATGTTTAGGAATATCCTCGTATGAACTTCGAGAGTTGAGCGTAAATATTTGGGAAACAGATTTGGGCAATTTTCTAGAAAAGACAAATCAGTATGATTATGTCGGCTAATTGAGCTGAAATCAATTATTGATGGTAAAGTCTAATTTCAACTCTAAAATCTGTAATCGACGCCGGGCCTTGCTTGTAATTGCACCAAGGTAAGCAATCATTTGTTGGAGTCAAGGCACAATATCATTCTACAGAAGAGAAAAAAACATGTTATGAGCTTGGACACAATGCTTACTGTATCAAATCACAGAGAGAATTATTGGTTTATAGTTGATCTAATTGATAAAATCATTTTATGAATTATGTAATAACATCTCAAACTTCCCTTGTTGGAGCATTCATTTCATGGTTGATTTTAAAAAGAAATAATTGCTAATCGAAC